AGCAGTGACGTCATGAGTGGCATATTCTGTAACTTTCTGTGACTGGAACATCATGTCATGGAAAAATGTATGAATACTAATTTTTAAGGAAATTCTCTGTGATGCAGCATTTAAGTGAAATAGTTTTGACTGTAAATGTTAAAAAATAAGCTTGAACATTTGTAGAGAACTAAGGTAAAATTCTTTTTTTGGTAAAAAGGTGGTAGAGAATCACTCTCAGAATTATTTTGCCTATTGTAAACCTTGCGTTTGTATTGACTTAAAAAAATAATGGATTGCTATTCAAACAGTGAAGAGAAATTGTTTGTGTCTCCTGAGGAATATGCCTTCATTCAGCTTTATGTTGTTTAGGTGATGAGTACAAATACTTCCCAGGCAGATCCCTGAATCCGAGTAGGTTGCTAAGGTTCTGTGTAGAATTAGGCGGGTAATTTGTACTCATTTTGCACTCACAAGTATCCCCTTTTATCTGTTTTCTGGATGCTTTGATCTGCTGTGCTGTTGAACCTTCTACTTTCATTTCAATGTTATTTTTTAAAATGAGCTATTAAAATTCACCTGGTTTGATAACAAAATTCCAGGCTGTTAATTCTTCTTGAAAGTTAAGAGCCATTTTATTTCCAAAATATGGAAGCTTGAAAATGTTCTGGAAATCATATGTCAGTTTATTTTTTGCAAACCTGGAAACACTAACCAGCTCCAGGATTTTTATTGCCGGTTCTGTTTTATTTTCTTCAGCGTGGTGGGAAAATATGTATGTTACTAGCAAAAGGTTCTGTACAGTTAGAAGATGGGAATGGTACCATTCTTAGTTAGAAATGGCAGTTGTAATTATTGGATGCAAAGTTATGGTCGAGAGAGGCCAGGGGCCCAGAGGATGACTAGAGTTAATAGATTTTGTACTGTTCTTTGCTTTTTATGCCTTGCTTTTCAGTAGCTGTAGGAGTGCACACGTGGAAAATAATGAGTGCCACTGCCTGTTGACAGTGACCCTATTTTTAAATTCAATTTTAAAAAATATCAGGGGATATTCTTGGGCAACCAGGGCAACTAGTTTATTTCCAGTGAGCTCTGTGATGATCACGCTTAAAATACTCTCTAGGATTTACTTGGGAGTTGAAGTTATTTGCTAGTACAAGGCTTATGTTGAAATGATTGATTCCATTTGTGGATATTGTCATTTCCTGAAGTTAGTTATGAATCAAGATGTTGTTATACAGTGATAAATACTGTTGAGGATTTTCCAAATATGTTCAGTGGCTCCATAGATTTTTTAGTAAGAATAATTCACATCCAGACCATGATGGAGGGTTCCAACTGGTTTCACCACAAGCTCATCTTCAACTTCAGCTCTGTGCTTGGTTCATTAATGTCTGCTTTCAAGTTGGAGACGTCTGGCTATTTTTCAGTCTGATGCTAATGATTCCTCCTAGTCCCAAATGTGGATAAATGGGTGTGGTGGCTTTCAGCTCCCTTGTGGTATCACGTCGCAGCCCACATTCACTCCCATCCAGTGTTTTGATCAGGGCTTCTGTGGTGAGGATGATTTTGATAGGCACTTGTCTGCTCCAGGAGCATACCCTGCCCCGGCTGGTGTGCCGACTGCTAGGGTTGAACAGTGTGTGAGTCAAAGCCTCCAGAAACAGATGGAAGGGGATATTCCTGGAGATTTCCTGGTCTTTGCTAGCAGTGTAATGAGGGCGAAGGGAGGGAGTGTTGTGTGGAGGGTAGAGGAGGGAGGCTGGTGGGGAGCATCCGAGTTGAGGGGTACAGCTGCATCAGGACAGGAAGAACAATGAGGAAACTGCAGGAAGATGTTAAACTTTTTTTTTTAACCATGCTGCATAAGCAGGAAAACTCTGAGCTTACATAAAGCGTATAATGACGTAATCAATACAATTTAAAAACAAAATTACCATAGTGTTACATATGTAATTACAAACACACTTCTTACTGTGCTATATGGTGGTAACGGCAAGCGAATCACATAAACAGGGTAGCTGGTGTTGCTTTTTTAATAGGGAAGGGAACCAATATTTATTGAACCCCTGATATCTGCTGGGCTCCATGCCGAGTGCTTTACAGATGTTATCTCATTTAACATATAGAGAAACAAGGCATTTCCCTTGTCCAGTGTGGGTGGAGGAGGGAGAAGTTACGCTTCCAGGCCTTTTGGAAGACCCAGGATTCTCTTTTCTTTAGCAAGGGCACATATTTTCCTGATGGTTCAGGGACCTTTGCACTCTCCCTGGTTTGAGAGCTGGACCTCCTGGGTCCTGAAATCTTAGCCACACTTGGACACAGTGAAGACACAACTAGTCCCCTCCATCCAATCAGCCTTACCTTCAGGTTCACTAAGGGCTGGGAACTGACCCGGCAGCCTCTGCTTTGGTCTCCAGATCAGAATTCAGTTTGACTACAAGGAAGCAGAACCCAAAGCGACAGCTCCTTTGGGTTTGAGGGAGTGTGAGCAGGAAACTCGCTGTAACCCTCAGCTCTGCTGTCTGCCCCACCCTGTGAACTGCCACACAGAGAGAGACGAAGAGAGGCGAGCATGTGCTCTGAGAGGAGACACCTTCCCGCCCCTCTTGTGCCCTTCGAAACATGTTTATTGACAGTGCCTGACATTTTGATATTTAGACCATGGCTTTCTATCCTTAGGGATTAGGGAATTCTTTGAAAGTCTGATAATAATCTAGATTTAACTCCCCAGAAAAATATACCAATATTTACACTTCAAGTGAAGACTACTTGATTGAGAGATACGCGCAGATGACTAAGGAAGACCTCTGGGTGGATGGGGAGGGTGGGTAAGGAGAACGTATCAGTCACTTATTCTTTAATAGGATTATTTTATTCATTTGCTTGCCTGAGATGTGCTTAAGACAGCAGGAGCTGAGGAGAAGTGGTGGTGGGTGGTAGTGGTAAGAGATCATTTTGAAGTATGAGACCTCGTAGGGGAAGGGAGGCCCCACGGGGGACGGTGGTGGGGCTTACAGTGCAGACCGTGGGGGACAGTCAGTCAGGCTGTGCCGCCTTGCAGTGTGGTCCATGGACAGTGGCACAGGTGTCACCCGGGGCTTGTTAGAAATGCAGGATCGCCGACCCCACCTCAGTCATACTGAATCAGAATCTGCATTTTAACAAGGTCTCACGTTCAAGTTTGAGGAGCATGGGTATATATTGAGGACACTAGGATAGGAGTGGGGAGCTTGGGTTGAGATTAGAGGAAGCCAAAGACCGAGAGTGCTGCTGAGGACGCCCGTGAAGGTGCCTGCAAGGAACAGGAAAGGAGCCCAGACAAGAGGAGGGGAAAGAGACCATGGAAGAGGCCCTTGAAGTGGTGCTCCAAGGGGAAGGTGGGGGAAGTTCTAAGTCTGAGGAGAAAATGATGTATTTAAATACAGGCACAGAATTGTAACAACAACAACAAAAAGAGTAGTTTACTACAGGATGTTAAATCATGAATGGTACATAACTTAGTGTGAATTACGTTTTCTAAACATTCAGCTGGCATCGGAGAATTGTCATGGTGAATTATTTATGATATGGAGTAAGTTATTTTAGGCAGGCTTCTGTCTCTTCCCCTAGATGAATCTTTTGAACTCATCATAACTTTGTTTTCTTAAGCCATAAGCCACCCAGTCAGATTGGTTACTTAAAAACCTCATATCCCTACATGCCCTTTTCTCTTTTCTAAGAGGATCTTTATCAAATGCTTGTTGGACACGTTACATTAGTAACTGTTGCTTGATTTCTAGCTGTTCCTTTGTTTTACGAAGAAGGCAGATAAAAAAATTATAATTTCTAGATCAGAGAGAGAGAATAATACTATCATTTTGGTAAAATTACGGGTTATATTCCGTCACTGAAGAATGCTGGACATGTGTTATTGGTTGTTATTGTGTGTCTTCCTAAAAAGATACATTGAAAACCTAACCCTTGGTACCTGTGAATGTGGCCTTATTTGGAAATAGGGTCTTTGCAGATATAAACAAGTTAAGATCAGGCCGTTAGGGTGGGCCATAATCCAATATGACTGGTGGCCTAATAAGAAGAGAGGAAGACAGAGACACGGGGAGAGTGGTCATGAGAAGATGGACGTTGGAGTGATGCTGCTACAAAGCCAAGGAACTCCTGGGGCTACCAGAAGCTGGACGAGGCAAGGAAGGCTCCTCCCCTGGTGGCTTAAGGGGAGCATGGTCCTGCCAAAACCCTGACTTTGGACTTCCAGCTTCCAGAACTGTGAGACAATAAATTTCTGTTGTTTTAAGCCACCCAATTTATGGTATTTTGTTATGACAGCCTAGGAAACTTATACACCATGCTTAATTATTCTTCTATAGTTAGTAATCATTTAGATCCAGTTTTGAATGAGTTCTTTAGTATTGTACACTCCTGTTTGAGACAGAATAGACATTAGTCCTTAAAGAAACTAAAACACTGTCTGAATTAATACTAAATTCAAATCCCCTACTTGTAGAACCCGTTTGTATAATTTGTATATAATCTATATATACTATGGTTCAAATTTACCTTTTCACACAATGCCAAATTGCTTTTTCTTTTAAAATTAAAAAGCTTATTTGTATTATTTTAGTAAAAATATAGGTAACAATGCCATACAATTCATTAACACTCCCTGAGGTAGCCTAAATAAGATTCTAATTCAAAAATATTGAAAGACATATTACTTCTGAATCAGTGAATTATTTAAAAACCAATTTAGAAAGTATTTCAATAGTGTTTGACATTAGCAGCTACTGGTGTCTAGGATATCTACTTATTGAAAAAAATGGCAAAAACATAAGGAAAACACAATTGGCTAAGGAAAAAGGAAATTGCAAAACAGCTTATAGCTTATGCAAGAAATACACCATATGGTCAAGAGATGTCAAAAATCTCAAGATTATTTTGAGATGAGAGTCAGTGTGATCCTGAAAATTACCTTCGGGAAAGGATGGTGGAGCTGCCAGTCCCTCCCGTGGGTGTGTGTCATGAGTGGGGCCCAGGCCTGTGGTAAAGTGCCCGGAGGGTAGCCGATCCTGAGGCACCATCAGCTGGATAAGCGCAGCCTTTGTGGTGGTGGTTGCCTGTTTATGTTAAGGACTCCTTGTACTGCAGGAGGTTTCTGTAATTGGCTGCTCCACTTAGATTAGATGTGTTTTGGATCCTGCTACACCTCCCACTTTTTGTATCTTGCCTAAAGTCTGTTGTTTTGAACTCAGTGCCAGGAAGACTAGTTACAAAGGTACCCAGTGGAGCCTCAAAGATGGCTCTGAGATGTGAATATCATTGCAGAATTACATCAAGGTCACTTGTATTTATTTTTTCCTAAATAGTTTCTTGACTTTAAAATGCCTTTGGAATTTCCAGCTCAAAATTCTAATTCCTTTCAGTGAGCTCAGTCTCTATGCAAAACTTGCTTCCCGCCTGCCAAATTGAAAGCATCTGGATAGAATACTGAATTTAGGTCATTTTTTTCCCAGTGTGTCCTTCTTAGGAAGAAAGGAAATCAAATCCAATAACATCACACAGAGAAGAGGGTAAAATAGTTCCAACAAGAGCTTTTTGTTTTGACCGTTGGTTGGAATTAAATGTGTGGCACCTCCTCTCTTCCCTGTCTCTGCCTCTCCTACCACCAGATCTCAGTGGTTGATTGGAATTTTTAAAGACCTAGAGCCTTTTACTTTCCATTATCTCTGTAGCACCATTCTCTGCTAAGGGGGAAGACTAGAGTATTCCTAGTTAATTCTTGAGGTTAATCAAGGCGGACTTCCACGTCTTCCCAGTGGAGGATCTGGGCAAGGTATAGACAGGGCTCCTCAGACTTGAAAGTGCATAGGAATCCTCGGAGGGTCTTGTTAACGTGCAGATTTTAATAAGTCAGCCTGAGGTGGGGCTTGAACTTCTGCATTTCTAAAAAGCTCCTAGCTGGTGTGAAGAGCTGCTAGTTGGTAAACCACATGCAGAGGGACAAGGAGTGGCCCACCTCGGGGGGATCTAGCTTCAAGCTCACTTTCTTGGCCCAGTCTCTCTCCTGTCACCTGGCCATTTCTGGGCTTGATGTGTTGAGTGCATATAGGATTTAGCATTGAGTAATGTCTCCCACACACGAAGGTAGTTATACCATTTCCCTTTCCCTTTATTCCAGTTCTTTCCCCGTTAACTGAGAGTTCAAAATTAGTGCACAACAGAAGCTTGCCATTACGGAGAACCCATTTTTAACTGAATAGAGAGAGAGAAAACAAGGAAAGATGCGTCTCCACATTGAACCTATATTCTATCATCAGAGAATTCAGAATATAGTTTTACCAGGGATGATGGTTTCTTTAGTATTTACGTAGCAGTAAAGTAAGTAATAGTTAGAATGATAGCAACTTGAGGCATATTTAATTCTCAGCTTTCCAAGTGCTCTAAATAAAAGTGATTATAATAATATGACCCAAACTATTATATCCCCAGCAGCATTTAAGACTGACAGAGATGTAATGTTCCACTTAGGAGCTATCATGGTACAATTAATTAGATGGTATTAAAAAAAAGTTTCTTAAAACACTTGAAGTTGTAAAGATATTCAGAAATGGATCTGTGCTTCTCAAATAAATACAAACAAAGACTGCAGTCATTTTAGTGGGTAATGCAAGAAATCAGCAAGCCCAAATTCTGGCTCCCCATGGATGAGATTTAAGGCAACAAATCTATGCTACTTTATGCAATTAGCATAAAATATACTTAACTTTGGAAGATTTACTCTGTCATCACCTTCCCACACAACAAACACAAATCCTGGGCTAATTTGCCTTCATTAATTCACATACCATTGCAGGGCTGACTTCTGCTCTGAGATGCTGAAGCACAATCTGCCTTCAAATTAAGTTACTGCATACGGGCCCTTTAGCTTCTTTTTGGCTCTTGAAGGAATCACAGGTTACACACATTATGAACCTTTCAGCCTGATTCTCTAACCCTGAGGGAGGCTCTATTGATGTACGCAGAATCAAAGAGGTTTGCGGAGAACACTTTCTTGCCTCTCCTCTGGCAGGGCTCAGATCCAGCTGCGTGGCTCTGAAAGAGAGAGGGACGTGGTGGGGCCTCATGGGAGAAGAGATACTTTCCAAGGTATCTCCTGACCCCCCTTTCCCAAATATTGCAGGAATGAGCCTAATAAATTGTGATGGAGGGCCAAATAAATCGTAAGTAATTTAAGGTGTTTTGGAGTTGTTTTTGGAAGTGGGTATTTAGAATATTCCATGATTCTCCTTAAACAAGGAAAACGCTATTCTGAGATAGAGTCTATAATAGGTGATATATTAGTTCAATATTATAAGCACTTAATATGACCTAAAAGGGGATGGCGGGACAAAGGAGACAGAGAGGATGAGAAGGCACCAGCTGGAGAGGGTCTCCTACCCACAACCAGGCAGACGGAGGAAGGAGAAACAGTCATGGAGAGAAGATGCAGAGGCAGAGGAAATGACAGGCAGACAAACATAGCGTCATGTTTATTTAAACCCTTATGATATGCTCTATGTGTGTTTTCTTTAAAAGTGTTCAAAGGAAGTCTAGTTCCTTTGCTCTTAAAAGGAATCAACTGAGGACCCAGGTAGTTCACTGGAGACTCTGCATTTTACAGTGAGCTACGTACCATATAGAAGAGGGGCGGTGGCAGTGGAGGCTGACCAGGAGATGGCAATGGAGGCTCCAGTCTGGATGGAAAAGGGGGAGGGGCAAGGAGGCTGGAGAATCCTCAGCTGCCTCTGTTTTCATTGTTGATTTGACTCTAGAAAGCACTCAGTTCCCACCCAGATAGCTAGATCTTGCCATGTGTGATATATTCTATATTCTTTATATTTTTAATAGCAGCCCCAAAGAAGAAAAAAAAAACATATTCCCTTCTCATGTTATGTGATCCATCCAGCAAGTCTGTGACGTAGATGGGACAGGCATTAATACTGATGTCATCTAGTCAAATGGCAGGTGAAGAAACATACTGGGAATTGAATTGCTTGGAGAAAATTACACAGCTGGGAAGAACAGAAGAAATGATATTCCTGATGGCTGAACATGGAATGGCTTGGCCACTATGGTGTTTTGAGCAAGTAATTTAACCTTTCTTTGCCTCAATTTCCTCATCTGTAAAATGGGGAGAATAGTAAGAGTACCTGATTTTCAAGGCTGTTGTCAGCATTAAATGAGATGGTACAGCAAGCACTTCAAATAGTATCTGGCAAAACTCTTATAAATGCTACCTGGTATTATTGTAATTATTAACAAAGATTAAACCATTCAGACCCAGTGTTCTGGATTTACAGCCACAACTCCTATCAGTAGACCCTAGTTAGGCAACCAGTAAGGCATCAGTGGATAACGAGAGGTTATCACCTCTTTTCCAATTCTGGGAATGGTACAAAGACAAGACTGATGTTCTGTAGTGGGAGAAAGAACAGAGTTTTGGGCATAACAAGGGTATGTTTAGAAGAATTTCTGATTGTAAGAAGTTCTACCGGAAATGGCTTTATTAATCAAGGGATCTTTTTTAAAAAAAGATTAACCATTTCCATTGCAAAATGTTTCATCCAAACCTAGGTTTTTGTGGCTAAAATTGTCTTGCTCTCAAGGCATCACTTAACCAAACTTTGGTTTTTATTTGTTTTAAATAGTTTTTTATGTAATTATACAGTTCTGTTTAACTATGAATATTTTTTTTTTAAACATAAAAGCAACTCTTTTAAAATAGACAGGAAATCTTTTAAGCATTGAAAAAGGTTTGGCTACAGGTCTTAATGAGCAAATATGAGAAGTGCATCATTTGGTGCCATTACCTATGAACAGGAAATAAAGGTAATTATAGGTCTGGGAAAACTTCAGAGAGGTCTCTACCAAACCCTGTGGAGGACACAGAATACCTTATATTTGATTACCTGAAAGAAGGAAAGAAAAAAATTTGATCCTGTTACCATCCAATGTGCTAAAATGTATTATCTAGCAGTCACGTGGATTCCATACCTACCTAGGGGCAAATGAGAGGAATGGGACCACCCAAACTGTAGGACAGAGGATTGATGTTAGCAACTTACTGTGGAATGGGACCACTCCAGTCTATAAGCTTATTAAATGATAAGGTCATAGGAATTCATTCTTTAGAACTCTGTCGGGAAAATTCTATAGTGAAGATGGGTGCAGAATTTAAACTTATATGCCTCTGTTAGAACATTTCAGTAATTTATTAAGTATGCTTTCTAAAAGGAATGCTCATCATGAAGGTAGTGTTAACTATACAATTTATTTAACAAATATTACTTAGAGATAAAATTAAAGGGTAATTTTTTGGGTGCATTTAGCGCAGGATTGTATGGTGGTTGTTCTTTATGGTAAATTATGATTTTTTGCTTGCTTGTCTAACTCAAGTTCTCATAAAATCTTCACATTCCCACATTTGGCAAATAACTGTATACTTGTACAATCTCTTACAAGATGCTAATGTGGTCAAAAGAATATTATTAACAGAACAGTATGAACTTCCAGTTGTTTTATAATTAGCCATATTGAAGAAACCCAAAACATGGAATAAATTACTCAGATTTATCAAATTATTTCATCTTAAGATGACTTGAGTGTGCATATTCACATTTAAAAAGAAGAGTTGACCTCTTTTCCAAAAACTAATTTCATTAATGGCCCCAGAAATTTTATCCTGCAAACTGTCCTATTAAAACTTTTACCCATCAATCATGCTTTTTAATTAACGAAACTACAGACTTTATTTAGATTTCTCCAATTTTCCCACTAATGTCCATTTTCTATTCCAGGATTCAACCCAGGATCCCACACTGCATTTAATTGTCATGTCTCTTTAGTCTCCTTCAATCTATGACAGTTTCCTGACCCTTCCTTGTCTTTTGTGATGTTGAACAATGATCTAGCCATCATTCTTGTTGGAAATGGCTTGCAACTATCCTTTGTAACTTGGTTTTTGGTGGAAGAGTTTTGTGATTGTTCTAAGTAGTGGTAAAATATCTGTGATAAATAGTAATTTTTAAAAGGAAAAATATGAAAAATCCCATATAGAAAGTAACATAAAAACAATAATATGTAACATATATAGAGTCATGAAGACTGAAAATGTGTAGGGCAAATACGAAGAAAATGATAAGATCCTAACAATGAATATAAAATAAGAACTGAATGAAAGGAGGAGATATCACTGGAATACTATTGGGAGGGAGGTTGGAAGAGATTTTCAAGTTCTTCTGGTATATCTGGGTTGTTTGGGAGAACTAGTGAGTGGAATTTGCCCTTCTAGATACTAAGTGTGTTTTAAAACTATAATAATTTAATTGTTACGGTACTAAGGCCATAACAAGAAAGATCAATGAAACAGAACACAAATTTCAGAAATAGCCAACTACACATAGGAACTTAGAATACAGTACATGTGGTATTTCAGCTTCTATGGAGGGAAAACTTCTCAAAATATAAACCTTAAACAGTTGTGTGCCAATAAATGTTTAATGACCAGCTCTCTGAAAAAAAATAGCAGATATATATATATATATACACACACACACATACACACATATACACATATATATGTACATAAATATGCATTTTACTATTATTAAGGATGCATATCATACAATTTACAAACAAAAATACACAATACTCTTTATTTTAAATGTTATTCTATATAGTCGGTTGATTTTTTCAGAATCCTTTTTCTTGATTTTTTTCCCTAACTTTGAATTTGTAGTCCGTATTCAGCCATGATTTGACAAATGGAGTTGCATCTCAGTCTGCTAATTCCTTTCCCAATAAATATATTGTCTTTAAGTCTTATATGTGGCTTATTAAAAATATTCTCACCCTTGTATAAATTATTATCTTAAACCTCAAGTTTCAGCACAAAATCAAGTCCTGATTTATAGCACTTGGTGATTTCTGTGGTGTCAATACTACTACTGTGACCCATTTCAAGGTACCATAGTAGTCACCAAGTGTGGAGTTGGGAGGAGATGTGAAGTAGCACAAGACTGTGTGATACTTTCACTGTCTATGTACCGTAGTCATAACTG